CCCCCCCCCGCCCCCCCCCCCCCCCCCCCCCCCCCCCCCCCCCCCACAGAGAGTTGTACAGAAAACATTTTCATATATAATGAGGAGAAGGATTCAGAAAACCTACTTGTGGTAGTGAAAGACGTTTTTTGCTAGCCTGGTAGCATGGTTTCAAACCTTTAAGCATCCTGTTTCGTGGAAATCTGTTCAGCGATTTAGGTTTTAGTCTTTTCACTCAATTCGCCTATTCTCGTAAGGTAGCAATATTTCCGTGCAAAAAGTGAATTTTTCCAATTGACGAAATTCGCACATTTTCAAAATTTAGATGGATCAAATATCATCAGTTTGCCCATCATCATATTTTTGGCTACATTTGAGAGCAGAAGAGCTTTTTTGTAGATGAGAGAAGATAGTGGTTCCGAGAGAGGGCAAAAACTTTCCCTTCGTCTTTTGGCAGACATGAGATCCAGTTACCTATTGATCGACCTTGAAAGGAGCAGTTGCACAAAGAAGTGGGAAGAAAACGAAAAGTTTTTGAAGACATCCTTTATAACACGAGTCAGGGTGATAAGAGACTGATAAGGAAAACAAGTTTTATCCAAGTAGTTTTGATTACGTAGCTTGAAGAAAAGATTATTTTGTTTCTTACCAGTAGTTTCATTCAATGGTATTGTTTTTCGCTTTATTACACTCACTACATTCGGTACGATAGTTTTTAGAACTTTTGTGAGTCCACCAATTAATGCAAGAAGTGTTGATATTGCATACACTAAATTAAATGAGTGTACATAAGAATAGGAGCAGTATTTTGGGAGACATTCCTCATAATAGCCACTGAACGATATTGTTGTTGACCATTGTTCAATCATTAAATTGCTAACTATTTCTTGAACTGATGTTGTTGGCTGATATTGGCTTTTAAGTGTTGGATCAAGTGGTGATACTATGGTGAAGTTTGTTGTTATCCATGATTGTATTTTATCTATACATTGACGTTGATAAAAACATTCTAATGTTGATTGTAATAATGAATCAACAATAAAACAACTTAAATAAAATCCCGGTACAACAAATTCCAGATCTAATGTTAAGCTGTTGTTTCTGTTGTTGTATATTGCTGATGGTTCAAGACATTTTGATGAAACATCACATGAACATGTTAAATTGTTTTTATCAGTATAAATTGATGGAGTGACATATATATAATCAATGACAATATTATAAAGTTCAAGTCGAAAATTTGTTAACAAACCAGAGATCAAACCATTTGCTTGTGTTGTTTTTTGTACAAAATTCAATGTACGTAAAAATGTTTGCGTTGTTGACAATTGAAATTGTTTTATGAATGACTGGGTTTGTAAATAAAATGTTGTATTTGAGACTAATGATGGTGTAATATAGGCTGTTAATTGAAACATGAGTAATTCATCATTGATTGTTTGATAGGATATTAGACATAAACTAGATAGTAATTGAAATGAATAACCACCTGTACGACGAAAATCTCGTAAATAAAGTTGGTCCGGTGATTCACTATTGAGATATTTAATCCAATCATCAGTGATAAATTGGCTTGAACATAATTGATGATATTCGGTAACTGAAAGTTGAATAAATTTTGTATAAGGAACAGAGATCGCTGAACATGGGCAGGTTAATGCCTGTCCATATTTTTTATAGAGTTGTGTATATTGTTTCAGTGAAGGTGATTCAATTGATACTGTTATTGCTCGCGGTATTACAGTTGCATAAATGAAAAAAATAATTAATGTGACAATCAATGTAACCAAATAGAAACGTGTTGATATTAACTCATTTTGTCTATCATGTTCATGTGTTGATGGTGGATATGATGGGAATAAATTTAATTGTTTTACATAATCTTGAACAGTTTTATATTTGTTACGTAGACATTGTGATACTGGCATCGTTTCTCATGTGAAGAATAAAAGCCGAAACTATTAGATGATTTTATTTTTAAATATCAAAAGATGATCATATTTGGCAGTCGTTCTAAAGAGAAAAGAATAAAAGTTTCTTTATCTTCTTTTTTTCTCTTTGACAAACATTTCTTCTATTTAAGAAAAGAGTAATTATTTTCAGAACAACAACAGTATAGCCAAGATGAAAAACTTAAATGGAAATTGAGATTGAGAAAGATAAAGAACTTAAGTGTACAGAAAGCCTCAATTCTTCCCTGATATGACTTGAATTTTCAGCAGACTGATTAATTTGATGATAATTCACCAACATAATTTTCCATATGTCATTCATCCAATAGTATAAATCCAATAGTTAGCAAAAATCTCCGGTAAGTAGTAGAATATCCATTTTCTGTGTGAATTTAAATAACTATAAGAATCTGTAGCAAATTTCACAGTAAACTATAATTTGTCATTCTGTACGTACGTGGATGAGAACAAGAAGAAAAACAGTGATCACTTGATGATA